TGAAATCAAAAAAAGTTTAATTTTGGACCCCAACTTGGACCAACTTGAAAACTGGGCCCATAATCAAAAATCTAAACACATGTTTTGATTCAGCATATCAAAGAATCCCAAGAATTCAATTTTTGTTAAAATCAAACTAAGTTTAATTTTGGACTCTTTGGACCTCAATGAAGACCAATTTAAAAAACGGGACCCAAATTAAAAATCTAAAAACACGGTTAGATTTGGCATATCAAAGAACCCCAATAATTCAATTTTCGATGAAATCAAACAAAGTTTAATTTTGGACCCTTTTGACCTCAATATGAACCAATTTGATAGCGGTGCCTACAAATAAAAAATCTAAATACATGGTTAGATTCAGCATATCAAAGAACCTCATATATTCAATTTTTGTTGAAATCAAACAAAGTTTAATTTTGGACCCCAATTTGGACCAACTTGAAAACTGGGCCCATAATTAAAAATCTAAATACATGTTTAGATTCAGCATATCAAAGAACCCCATATATTCAATTTTTGTTGAAATCAAACAAAGTTTAAATACTGGACCCTATCTTGGACCAACTTGAAAACTGGGCCCATAATCAAAAATCTAAACACATGTTTAGATTCAGCATATCAAAGAATCCCAAGAATTCAATTTTTGTTAAAATCAAACTAAGTTTAATTTTGGACTCTTTGGACCTCAATGAAGACCAATTTAAAAAACGGGACCCAAATTAAAAATCTAAAAACACGGTTAGATTTGGCATATCAAAGAACCCCAATAATTCAATTTTCGATGAAATCAAACAAAGTTTAATTTTGGACCCTTTTGACCTCAATATGAACCAATTTGATAGCGGTGCCTACAAATAAAAAATCTAAATACATGGTTAGATTCAGCATATCAAAGAACCTCATATATTCAATTTTTGTTGAAATCAAACAAAGTTTAATTTTGGACCCCAATTTGGACCCACTTGAAAACTGGGCCCATAATTAAAAATCTAAATACATGTTTAGATTCAGCATATCAAAGAACCCCATATATTCAATTTTTGTTGAAATCAAACAAAGTTTAAATACTGGACCCTATCTTGGACCAACTTGAAAACTGGGCCCATAATCAAAAATCTAAACACATGTTTAGATTCAGCAAATCAAAGAACCCCAAGAATTCAATTTTTGTTAAAATCAAACTAAGTTTAATTTTGGACCCTTTGGACCTCAATGTAGACCAATTTAAAAAACAGGACCCAAAATTAAAAACCTAAATACACGGTAAGATTTGGAATATCAAAGAACCCCAATAATTCAATTTTAGATGAAATCAAACAAAGTTTAATTTTGGACCCTTTTGACCTCAATATGAACCAATTAGATAACGGGGTCCACAAATAAAAAATCTAAATACATGGTTAGATTCAGCATATCAAAGAACCCCATATATTCAATTTTTGTTGAAATCAAACAAAGTTTAATTTTGGACCCCAATTTGGACCAACTTGAAAACTGGGCCAAAAATCAAAAATCTAAATACATGTTTAGATTCAGCATATCAAAGAACCTCATATATTCAATTTTTGCTAAAATTAAACAAAGTTTAATTTTGGACCCTTTGGACATTAATGTAGACCAATTTGAAAACTGGACCCAAAATTAAAAATCTAAATACACTGTTAGATTCGGCATAACAAATAAATAAATGTGATCAAAGATTTTACAAATCTAATGCGCCATACTGTGCAATTAAAGATTACTTCTTGAAATTTTTCAATATTTGAAATTTGAAAAAAAAATAATATTTGAAGAATAATTCTTTTTAATTTCTGAAATCTGAAATGAGAAAAAATTGGCCCCCCACAATTTCTTTTTATCCCCCCCCCCCTTTTCCCCCAAAAAAATTCTTTCCCTTAAGATATGGTCATAATCTCAATTCAAATTTCCAATGGAGTTGGCAACCATAATTACCCATTTAAATTTGCCATAGTGCTAACTTAATCTATTTTATAATAGAATTAATAAAAATATAGTGTCAAATCTTTCATATGGATTTTTTTGTAAAAAAAAAAGATGAAAACATTTGCAGATATTTTTACTGGTCTTCCTTTATAAATATGCATTTCTTTAAACATAATTTAAAAGCAGTGTAAGGGAAGTAACCAAAACGTTGTATTTGGATTACCTCCCTTACACTGTTTTAGATTATCTTTATTGTTCATTAACCATTACTTTATACATAATTTAAAAGCAGTGTAAGGGAGATAATTTCAATGATGTATTTGATTTATCTCCCTTACACTGCTTTAAATTATGTTTTGTACTAAAGTATTTGTCCATTAACCAGGACAACCTTGTTTTTCCCCCTTTTTTGCCCCTAATTCCTAAACGGTTTGAGCCATAACCCCCCAAAGCAAATCCTAACCATCCCTTTGTGGTATGGAAACTTGTAGTATAATTTCAGAGAGATCCATACACCGTTCCACAGTTATTGTCTGGAAACTAGAAAATGCTCATTTTTGGCCCCTAATTCCTTAACTGTTGGTGCCATAACCCCCAAAATCAATCCCAACCTTCCTTTTGTGGTATTTAACCTTATGGTCAAATTTCAAAAAGATCCATTCACTTAAACTAAAGTTAGAGTGCGAAAACTAATATGTATTCGGACGACGACGACGACGCCAACGTCATACCAATATATGACCACAAAATTTTTTTGCGGTCGTATAAAAATGCTTATTTTTGGCCCCTAATTCCTTAATTGTTGGTACCATAACCCCCAAAATCAATCCCCACCTTCCTTTCGTGGTATTGAACCTTATGGTAAAATTTCATGGAGATCCATTCACTTAAACTAAAGTTAGAGTGCGAAAACCAATGTGTCTTCGGACGACGACGACGCCAACGTCATACCAATATACGACCAAAAAATTTTCTATTTTTGCGGTCGTATAAAAATGCTTATTGTTGGCCCCTTTTTCCGTAACTGTTGGTACCACAACCCCCAAAATCAATCCCAACCTTCCTTTTGTGGTATTGAACCGTATGGTAAAATTTCATAGAGATCCATTCACTTAAACTAAAGTTAGAGTGCGAAAACCAATGTCTTCGGACGACGTCATACCAATAATTTTGCGGTTGTATAAAAACTTGATAACAATTGTCATCAAAGGGCAATAACTCTTAATTAGGAATCGACCAAGGATTTCAACCATGCATACTAATCAGTAGATCTGGTCTTGCTGATCATTTTTGTAACTTTAAAGTTTCTCTCCATCTATTATAGTTTTCAATATAACCAAACATGAAAAAAAATAAATGGGGAGTGTGTCCATGGGACACAGATGATGCCTCCGCTTGCATACAACGTTGTACAGGGACATAACCCAAGAACTGTAAAAGTGACGCTACCCAAATTTGTATTTAATCTGAGTTTTATGGTAATAAGCATTGTGTATAAGTTTCATAACATTTGGTTGAGGCAAACTCAAGTAAGAGAACGAAAACGAAAATTTCAGCAATTTTTCCATTTGTAAAGGGGCACGACTCTAGAACGGTAAAAGTGACGCCACCAAAATTCAAACTTGATCTGTGTTTTGTGGTAATAAGCATTGTGTATAAGTTTCATAACATTTGGTTGAGGCAAACTTAAGTTAGAGAACGAAAACGAAAATTTCATCATTTTTTATACGACCGCAAAAACATTTTTTTCTTCTTTAAAATGTTCCATTTTAAATTGGTTATTTCTGATTTATATATAAAAGCAAATAATAGTGATATGGTTTGAATAGGTAAATTAAATTTTTTTAAGTTCTTAGACCACATTCATTCTGTGTCAGAAACCTATGCTGTGTCAAATATTTAATCACAATCCAAATTCAGTGCTGTATCAAGCTTGAATGTTGTGTCCATTCTTGCCCCAACTGTTCATTGTTCGACCTCTGCGGTCGTATCAAGCTGCGCCCAGTGGAGCATTTTATTATTTGTAAAGGGGCATAACACTAAAACGGTAAAAGTGACGCCACCAAAATTCAAATTTGATCTGTGTTTTGTGGCAATAAGCATTGTGTATATGTTTCATAACATTTGGTTGAGGTAAACTAAAGTTAGAGAACAGAAACGAAAATTTCTGCAATTTTTCCATTTGTAAAGGGGAATAACACTAGAATGGTAAAAGTGACCAAAATTCAAACTTGATCTGTGTTTTGTGGTAATAAGCATTGTGTATAAGTTTCATAACATTTGGTTGAGGCAAATTAAAGTTAGAGAACGGAAACCAATTTTCGGACGTACCTACAGACGGACAAGGGTAAAACTAGCGGCGGGGGCATAAAAAGGTAAAATTTGTCATTTAAGGGCAATAACTCCTGCAAGAAATCGCCTGGCAGTTTTGACATCATGACATCACAACTGGTAGAGCTCAACATTCTGAATATTTTTGCCCTATCAGAATTTCACTATTTATAAGTTTTCAGAATAATAGACAAAACTTGCATTTTACCCCTATGTTCTATTTTAGTCATGTCGGCCATCTTGTTTGACAGGTGGGGTCATTGGACACAATTTTTAAACAAGATACCCCAATAATGATTGTGGCCAAGTTTGGTTAAATTTGGCCCAGTAGTTTTAGAGAAGATTTTTGTAAAAGTCGCCAAGTTTGGTTAAATTTGGCCCAGTAGTTTTAGAGAAGATTTTTGTAAAAGTCGCCAAGTGATGAGAAAAGAGCCAAAAATGCATTACAGGGTGTACTCACTTGAAACATGCTACAAAATTTCATATCTATGAATTTTTTTAACTGGAATGACACAACAGAGCAGGGATATAATAACAAATTAACTGAAGATGTTTTGAAAGCCACCTTTTCCAAAAACCTAATTGTTAACAATCCACTGTTTGGGAAATGCTTTAGAATGACTAAGTGAACACATACATTTTGAAGTGAAGTCAACAAGCTATTTCACTAATTTCACTACATCTTACATCATGAAAGTATTTTTTTGTAAATGATACCAACACAAGTGTCCTTTTCTTTTACTTTTGTCTTTTTTTTTTTTATACATTCATGATTTACAGAATAAATACAGCTCAATTTTTAAGAAAAAAAAATATACATCCACCTGTTTGGTAACAACACTGTGACAGATATTAAGAAACAAATAAATAGTACAAGCCATCATTTTTCTAGACAGCTATTAACAAGTACTTGTAAAATAATTTCCACCCTCCCCAAAAATCATTTCTGTTGTCATACAATATAAAATTCCTCAAGGAAATTTCCTTATATATTATCAGTGAATTTCAACATGAACACAATTTTTAATGCTGCAACACTTGACATTTATATATTTTATTCCTTGCATTCATTTTCCTTTTTTCCAAATCAGTCAGATTTTAAATACAAGAACATGTCCTACAACCTTATACAAAAAATTGAAAAATGACTAGAATTGAAGTGCACAGGGTACCACAATGCTGGTAATAATGAATGGAAGCTATGAAAAATGAAGAATGGTAACAAATCCTTCCATCGGTTACTTTGAGGTCATCATCGTCACAAACTCTGGAAAGAAAAAAGAAAACGTTATTCTATACATTCCAACATCTCTGTACAAACTTAAATGAAATCCATACAGGCTGCCAGTATTCTATATAAGTTTCTGTTTAAGAAGACTTGAGTTCAATTTTACTTAGGGATACAAAGTTGTGAAAAGTGATGGCATGTGTTATTTTGCCCAAATATATCTAGTCCCTTTCCGGAATCCCATTATTTTACTCCCAAATTAATGGCTAATAAACAAGCATCAACACTTACTGAATGTTGAATCAATTGGATAAATGAGCCATTCAAAATGTCATCACCAGGAAGATCTTTCCAAAACTTATCTATTGAAATATTGTATTGGCACCTTTCTATTGATGAAGACTATGTTGCCCTTTATGTGAATTCTGGTAATTTTTGTTAGGTTGCGGTTTCATTAATATATACCCCACATCTTTTATTTATCACCCCTGACCAACACCCTTACATTGAATGACTTGCTGCAAAGCAATTTCCAATCAGTGGGCATTAATCATAGATCATTCAATTCTAAATTTGGCATATGCATCACACAACAGTGTAAATGTAGCAATTTTTGTATACTTACGTTTAATTGAAAACAACATAACATTAATACATACCTTCATAATTAACTTGTCCATCACCATCAATATCAGCTTCACGAATCATTTCATCCACTTCTTCATCTGTTAATTTTTCCCCTAAGTTTGTCATTACATGTCTCAACTCTGCTGCACTAATGAAACCATTGCCATCTTTGTCAAAAACACGGAATGCTTCCCTGATTTCTTCTTCACTGTCTGTGTCCTTCATTTTTCTAGCCATCATAGTCAAAAACTCTGGAAAGTCTATTGTTCCATTACCTAAAAAGATAAATCTTATTATTAAGACTTTTTACAAATAGTTTTTTTTTGTTGGATTCATTTTTTCTTACTTTATAATAGGAAATAATTCAGATTATGCAACTTTAATGAAATAATGAAGAGTAAATTTACCCATTTCCTTTTGCAGCTAGAAAACAAGTTCAGCGACCCTTTTTTTTTAATTTTCTGAAGGCATTGACTAAGTAGAGTGGTGCAGATTCAGATTTTGGGCAAAATAAATTGGTTACTTCATTAAAATATGATTAACATTGCATATATTGAATTAAAAATGTTATGTTCCTTCCCAAATCACTTGTCAAAAGTTTTTAGTAAAATTTCTACAGCTGCCATTAAAACTTATACTTACAACAGATCAGAAGTAGATCAATAAACAACTGCACCAAGAGCGCATGATATGCCCTTTATATAGTGCATATTAAAATTGTTGATTATTTTTTTACTAAATTTGACAATTAAAAGTTTCGTAACTTTGGAGCTTCATGTACAAACCAGAAAATATAAAAATAAAAAGTGATCTTCTTTTCATCAATCCCCACAATAAGTAAAGTTTGGAGGAAATAAATCCAGGAATTCTGGAGTTTGTGCGTGATTTTCAAAATATTGCTGTAAATCTAACTGTTAAAGTTTCATAACTGTGGAACGACAAACTGGAAAATTATAAATAAACCAAAAAACAAACACAAGGGATCTAGCTTTCTTTCATCAATTCCATCAATAACAAATTTTTGTGGAAATCAATTCAGGGTTACTGGAATTAGATTAACATTTGTGAAAAATTGCCTTAAACTCTGGAACAACAAATAATAAAATGCTCCCCTGGGCGCAGCTTGATACGACCGCAGAGGTCGAACCCTGAACAGTTGGGGCAAGTATGGACACAACATTCAAGCTTGATACAGCACTGAATTTGGATTGTGATTAAATATTTGACACAGCATAGGTTTCTGACACAGAATGAATGTGGTCTAAGAACTTTTAAAAAAAAATTTAAAGAAAAAAAGGAAAAAAAAATCCCCCCCCCCCCCCAATTTTGTGAACCCCCTTATGATTCATCACCCCCAAACTCAATCCCAGCCTTCCCTTTGTGGTATGGTACCTTGCAGTACAATTTCAGGGAGATCCATACACTTAAACACAAGTTATTGTCTGGAAACTAGAAAAATGCTTGTTTTTTGGCCCCAAATTCCTAAACGTTTAGGGCAATTACCCCCAAACTCAAACCCAGCTTTCCCTTTGTGATATGGAATCTTGTAGTACAATTTCATAAAGATCCATACACTTACATACAAGTTATTGTCCTGAAACTAGAAAAATGCGTTTTTTTGCCCCCTTATGGCCCCTAATTCCTACAATTTTGAGGCAATTACCCCCAAAATCAATCCCAGCCTTCCCTTTGTGGTATGGTACCTTGTAGTACAATTTCAGAGAGATCCATACACTTAAACACAAGTTATTGTCTGGAAACTAGAAAAATGCTTGTTTTTTGGTCCCAAATTCCTAAACGTTTAGGGCAATTACCCCCAAACTCAAACCCAGCTTTCCCTTTGTGATATGGAATCTTGTAGTACAATTTCATAAAGATCCATACACTTACATACAAGTTATTGTCCTGAAACTAGAAAAATGCTTGTTTTTTTGCCCCCTTATGGCCCCTAATTCCTACAATTTTGAGGCAATTACCCCCAAAATCAATCCCAGCCTTCCCTTTGTGGTATGGTACCTTGTAGTACAATTTCAGAGAGATCCATACACTTGAACACAAGTCATGGTCTGGTAACTAGAAATGCTTATTTTTGGCCCCTTATTCCTAAACGTTTTGAGCAATTACCCCCAAACTCATTTCCAGCTTTCCCTTTGTGATATGGAACCTTGTAGTACAATTTCAGAAAGATCCATACACTTACACACAAGCTATTGTCATGAAACTAGAAAACTGCTTGTTTTTTACCCCTTTTTGGCCCCCAACTCCTAAAATTTGGAGGCAATTACCCCCTTAATCAATCCCAGCATTCCCTTTGTGATATGGAACCATGTGGTACAATGTCAGAAAGATCCATACACTTACACACAAGTTATTGTCATGAAACTAGAAAAATGCTTGTTTTTTGCCCCTTGTTCCTAAAATTTGGAGGCACTTACCCCCAAAATCAATCGCAGCATTTCCTTTGTGATATGGATCCTTGTGGTACAATGTCAGAGAGATCCATACACTAACACACAAGTTATGTCTGGAAGTTACAAAAATGCTAATTTTTGGTCCCTAATTCCTTAACTGTTGGTACCATAACCCCCAAAATCAATCCCCACCTTCCTTTTGTGGTATTGAACCTTATTGTAAAATTTCATAGAGATCCATTCACTTAAACTAAAGTTAGAGTGCGAAAACCAATGTGTCTTCGGACGACGACGACCACACCAACGTCATACCAATATACGACCGCAAAATCGTATAAAAAACTGAATCACGCAAAAAAGCTTGTATGAACATATTGAACAGATCTTTTTTATACCATCAGCATCCACTTCATTGATCATATCTTGGAGTTCAGCTTCTGTTGGATTCTGTCCCAATGACCTCATAACTGTACCAAGTTCTTTTGTGGTAATGGTTCCATCACCATCTTTATCAAACAAGCTAAAAGCTTCCTTAAACTCTACAAAGTTGAAAAAAAATATATTTATTCCTTCATGGACAAAACACAAGGTAGACATGCTGCTCACAATATTATTTCTACTTAATTAAAAAAAATTTTATAAAAAATATTTTTCTGCATAAGCATCTACCCTTGGTGTTAAGTGCAGATCAGTCCCTTGTATTAAATTGTTCTGTACCACAAAACTGGAAAAATGTACGTACTTGTACATGCTCTTCTCACATTCAACAGTGTTAGTTTAGATTTATTAAGCATACAAGCTATATCTGGCTGAACCTGGGACAAAAAATATTTAGACTTGCCCTCGTTTCTGTTCAAAGGGAGATAAACCAAATTAATTTTTTCCTGTTAATCTGCTACATATTTCTATGTATTGTTATTTCACCAAGCCAAAAAAAATTATATTGTCTGTTTTAAGTTTTGGTTACATCATTAAAAATAAATGGGGAATCTGTCCATGGGACACAAATGATGCCCCCGGGGCCGCATGCATACAACTTTTTAAAGGGACACAACTCAAGAACATTAAAATTGATGCAACCCAAATTCGAACTTGATCTGAGTTTTGTGTAATATAAAACATAGTATTCTAGCATATATACCTGCAATTTGTTCTTCAGTAAGCTGATCGGCCTGAAATGGAACAAAAAAGTATAAAAACTTAATTCATACATATCAATATTGAAGAAAATACTTACATGTATACAGTGTACCTCAAAATGTCTGTATAAAAAATGGTAATTATTTTAAATTCAATTTAAAAAAAAAAGAACAGAGTTCCAATGTCCCCTGCATTGCACATTATTTTATCGATCCAAGGGCAATAATTTTTGTTCTTCATATTTTTTTTTCTACAAAAATCTTACAGAAATAGTCTTAAGAGCAAATACAATACAATTTCCAATATAATTATTTTTTCCAAGGGCATAACTCCAGAGTTCACGAAAATGGTCGGTCCTGTCGGTCAAAATGAGGCTCGGACCAGTATTTTGAAGGCTAGTGCCGGTCCCGATGACCGATGTAAAAACGGCCGTTGTAGTGCATATTTCGGCACTTTTTTACATCGGTTATTAGATGTACCGCAACTGTTTCCAATAGGTGTTTACATCGGTTATCAGATGTACCCGCTGCCAATTTCCGGTACTGGTTTACGGATTTATTATAAACAAACCAAAGCGGCGATCTACACGTGGCCTACTAAATTTGTTCATAGAGCCATCCCTGGCAAACAATCGGCAATTGAACCCTACAATGGAGCAAACAAATACTGTAACAGCCGAGAAAATGATTCAGATGATGAAGTGGATAGTGAAGATGACTTTAAATAAGAACAATCAGAAGACCTGAACTGGTCCTTCATTGTTAATTTGCCTGTGGGTGCGAAGAATAAAACTAATATTAATAAAGTTATTTTTCGATAAAATATGTAAATAATTTTATTTCAGGATAAAATTGACAGATTTTGTAGGACTGGCTAAAGTTTTGTAGGACTGACAAATAATCATGCTTTGTCGGTCCCATGACGGACGGGTCAAAATAAGTTTTCGCGAACTCTGATAACTCTAACTCTTTCAAAAATATTTGATCGGCACTGATTTTCCAAGTTGTCCAAGACATTGCTTATATAAACCTATGATATAAGTTTTATAAAAATCTGGCAAGAATTGTACACATGATAGTGCTAACAATGAAATTTTCCATATAATTAATATTTCAAAGGGGCATAACTCCTTTAAAAATAATTGATCGGCACTGATTTTCGAATTTGTCCGAGAGTAGACATTGCTGATATAAACCTATGATACAAGTTTTATAAAAATCTGGCAAGAATTGTACATTATAGAGCGCTAACAAGACCAGATGGACGGTTTATCAGTGAATCATTGTCATTACAATGTAAATCCAGATTATTACAGGAAATTATAAATATTTTAAATTCTAGTCTGGATAATTAACAAGAATGGGTACTAGGTACAGTAAATTTATATTTAATTTTTTATTTTTGCTCCACGAGTTCTCCACTGAAATGGCCTTGGGTTGCTGCAAGATATATATTTTTTTTTATTGATGGATTTGCAGTCATAAAATTTTTGAGTCCAATTTTCATACTCAGAAATCAACCAATCAAAATCCTGGATTTGGCGTTTCAAGTACAAATATTTTACTCCAAGTACCGAGTAAATTTTTATGACTGAAAGGCCTGCTCAAGCCTCACAAAGATTAGAGAGGATCCTAATTTATGGGTATTATACTCCAAAACAGGTATTAATTTTCAGTGATAAAAATATAAACTTTGGATTCACAGATATTTTGTCATGGCACAAACATTTGGGTAAAGGACAACATTTCACTGAAGATACCATGACTGAAATATCAGGATAAAAGTTAACAGCCCTCAAAAAGTAGGATTTTTGGAGGCCATTGTCTTTGTATTCAGTTCTTATTTTAACTATGGTCTAAAAGGGAAATATTGCCATTTATATGAATATTTGCGCAATGACAGCTGTCATGGTGTTATACAATATTTGATTTTTTATCACTGTAAATTTTAAATTGATATACCTGATTTTGGGTATAACAACCATAAATAGGGACAGAACCCATTTATGAGGATCTTCCCCAACCTGTCAAACTGTAATGCTTTGTCCATCTGTGATTGTCAAAAATTTCAAATACAAGTTGAAAAAGATCTTTAATTATCAGTACTAGTTGAATCATTGTCATTTGAAGCCATGAAAAAAATTGGCGCCATTATCATATTCTTGCATTGCAACATAATTTGTGGTTATCGGTTATGTGTGTCAATTATGTATTTCCCAACTTCTGGGATATGCCAAAGCAGATTCTGCTCCCTTTTGGGATTCTGTGTCTTGACTGGGACTAATAGATAACTGTACTATCCGTGTCTTGACTGGGACTATTACTATTAGTCTAATAGATAACTATACTACTACTAGTCACATGTACTGAGCTATTTTCTTATATTAATTGGCAGTCCTTGAGGTGAGGAAGTAGACGAAATTTTCAATAATAGACATAATAGGACTTGATTGGGAATTCTGATGGTGGCCAAATAAAAAATCCCTCTGAACACAATATCCCAAAAGGAATTACATTTTTTGACATCCCAATTTAAACATCAAATGTCCAAAGACACATTTTCCCTCAATTGACCCAAGGTCAACCGGAGCAATTCAGTCATAGAACTGATATAGAATAATTGTCTACATCAAGTCATCATCCAGGAGACAACATCCCTAATATCATTTACAGGGGGGGGGGGGGGGGGGGGGCAAAAAACAATCAATAAAAAATTGAGAAGGGGGCAATCCTAGTTTAGGAGCATCCATCTGCGTCCATCACTCAAATCCGTCGAGATCCATTACTCTTGTATATGACATAAGATAAATCTGTATTTAAATATTAAGCCATCTTTCAGTAAATGTCTCGTTTTTCTTGGCGAGAGTGGCGCCAATTTTCCAATGCACAATACTTGGGAGGTCTATTTATGAATTCCTAAACATAAATAGCACAATTTTCTTCTTACTTATTTCTTTATTCGCCTCAGTATTAATATATATCTCACTTTTGCTCATGCCTTGCATTTATTTTTTTTCAAAGAAGAAATAATTGAGGTTTGCACTTCCATCATACTGATGAAACGGTAGTTGTCAACTAAACGGACGCTTTTAAAAAGAAACTACATACTATATTCATTAAAATAAATATATTTAAACACAAATTGAAATATTTCATGTCTCGATGTCTCATTTTAAGCACTTACCATGGTAGATTGTGATTTTTGGCAGACGAATCTTCTTTCTGATGATGTTAGAATCTGCAAATCTCTTTTCCGGTTTCGCCTATTCTTACGTAATTTACAAAGGGTAGTAGCTCCTTATATCTCTAAATTAATGTAACAATAGTAAACTTTGATAAATAAGGTATATGTCCCTAAAAAATTATTTAAATCCAAGTTTTAAATTGGGACTACTTTTCCAGCAGCCTGCTTGATTTGAGTATCCCTCATCGATTTCTCGTCGTGATTATTATTGTATATTTGTTACGATGAATTTGATTGGTTGATGGATACCTGCATTGCGACACTTGCACTGCGGCAGACGAAATTTTCAAAATAAAGAAAAGCATTGTCCAGTTGGGGAGCATTTGGGGTATGATCAATCATTTGGCATTAAATCAAATAGCCAACTAAATCATGCATATTTATTTCAAAAAGAAGCTGTCAAATTTCATGATTTAGCTTTAATTTTTATAAAACAAGAGGCCCATAAACTTCTTGCTGCATGAGGGACACATATGTCCATATTATTAATTTACGCAAGCACCTGTTCATTACTTAATCTTCAGATTAAATGCTTAGATTGTACAGTCTAATCTTTTTTGGGGTCTCGAATGTAATGCATCAGGGCGTGATATCATATATATCACATGACGTCATAGTCGGGCAATATGACGTTACAGATGTCCAGCTGACGTATTTCCTATATACGACATGTAACCACAAAGGGGGGGGGGGGGGGCACTTCCTATCATATATACAAGGCGATAGGACGTGCCAATCAGTCTGGAATAGGTCACATTTTCCAGCTTGGAAATATGTGAATAGGTGGGGAAAACTATTAAGAAATATATAATAAGGTCAATAAAGTTTCCATTCCTTATATATTATTTGCTAATTTTTCTTCGTCTGTCATCTTGCTTGGTGTTCCCGGCTGTGTTTGTATCAACAAATATTCCCTCTTTGGACACGTTGTTATTCCATTCCCTTGACACCACACGAAACCTAACCAATATGAGAAAAGGTTACATTTTTACCTACACAATATATGAAAAGGTATACATTTAAATAAATTTTTAAAATCGAAATCATATGAAAAGGGTGGGGAACAGAACCCAAGCGGCACCCCTATCAATTAAGTATGTGTGAAGTGAAGTATTTTGGTCATTAACAAGATTCTGTCTAAATTTCATAAAATTCCATGAAGGCTTGACAAATTATTGCTGACTGGAAAACTTTGACCTCAGACTGAATTTGAATGCTAACTGTAAAAAAAAACGAAGTCCCTTTATCAGTAAAATACAGAAAAATGAAATTAGTATTTTCAACATTTTGCTCTGGATCATACTGTATGTTGGTCATAAACAAGCTTCTGCCCAAATTTCATACAACTCCATGACAAAGTTATTGATGTCTAAATTTTTTTTACCACAGACTGTTGACGCCGCTGACGCCGACGACGGAATCTAGGATCTTTATGTCTCGCTTTCGCGACATAAATGTCGCAGGCTTGACAAAAATGAAGAGATGTGGTATGATTGCCAATGAGAAAACTATCAACCAGAGTTAAAATGAAGTAGTTAGCCTTCAACAATGATAAAGAAAAACCCATACCGTATAGTCGGCTAGCCTATTAAAGGTCCCGGACATGAAATATGTGAAGCAATTCAAAACGAGAACTCGTTATGAAACCTATAATTATCCTATCTGTGATATTTCTTAAAGGCGCGTAGCTGCCTTTACGCAAAAAATCATTTGCTTGCACATTTTTTTCACCAAAAAAAAATAATTCTGAAATTGAATTACGGATAGTCTTTAGTCTTTACAGATTATCGTGTCGGGCGGTGTTTAAATCCAAAATCTCTGATGTCGTCTGTAGCAGTGACTAATAAGGAACTATATATCCTTCAATATTCGCAATCTTCTCAATTCTAGTTACAATGCCAGTAACTACATCAACTACTGAACGGTCATTTAGTGCATTAAGGCGACCGAAAACTTATCTCCGTTCAACCATGGTACAGGACAGACCATCTTCGTTGGCGCTTATACATGTTCACAAAGAAATGGATATCAACACCGAGAGAGTTCTGCGATCATTTGCCTTGGCAAAAATAGATATATGGACTTTCGATATTAACTGTACTTAAAGTCTTACATGCAGTATTAACATTTAATAATACAGGCTCAATACAATCACCTTGAAAACATCTTAGATTTATATCCCTTACTTATAAGTCCAAAAGACTATTGATTCACCTGGGGTATCTGTGTCCCAAATGACCTTCTACCGCGTTGTCGTAGAAACCTCTCCTTTGATTTGAGAATGACCTTCGTGAGACACACTACGGGTGTCTTTCAAGAAGCAGGAACTGCTTACCCTTTTGGAGCACCGGAGGTCGCCACATTGTTTTCTGGGTCCGTGTTTTTCATCTGTATTTAGTTTTCAATGTTGAATGTTTTTGTTTCTCCTTTTGTGTCTTATCTGTTCCCGGGTTTGTCAATTGTCCATTGATTAACGCTTCGGTTGTCGACTCTTCCTGATCTTCCCGTTTTATAAAATTTATTTAATATTTGAAAATAACCATGTTAATAATATAAGCAGCAAATTACGGAACTCACTAGACTTTTACTATCGTTTCATGAAAATATGGTATAGTAAGAAACAGATAGGGTATTCAAATGTTCATGTTCAAAGCAGTCACTGTAATTACTCATATGCCCGGAGCTTCATGGGGATTCGCTTCCCTTGACCACCGTCTACGGTGCTGCCCTGGATCCCCGACTAGGGTGCTACCCTGGACCAGCTGGGGACTTTGAGCGGTCCATAGCCTCCTCCCTTGCCGAATCACTATAAAGTCCACAAGTATTCACAAAATAGGAGTTTGGGCGTGAATGTGATGTCACGGAATTTCATAAGCATGGCATACCGGGAAAATGCCCGAAAAAAGTTATCATTTTCTGCATAAAATGGTCCAAAAAAAAATTTTCGCCTCGCTTCGCTTATGATTGCACTTTATGTAAGTCCAGCTACGCCCCTGTCTTACCTAATGGCATCTACGCAATTTGGCGAGATCTCTATTAATTATTGTATTCTTGTAACTCATACTCTTTTAACCGTACCTTTGCATTGATGTTCATGGGTTTTGATTTTTGAACTGGGTTTTGAGGGGCGGGCAATACTTTCCGTGTAATAACTTATGAACCGTTCAACCAATGCTTTTGAAATTTGAATATGTTGGGAGTTATGGAATTTTGGGCGTCATATTATCATGCGCTCATGGCGCAGCTCTTTATTTATAGATTGTAGTGGCCGGGATCTTCATGGTCTTGCTCTAGTGTGACGGGGGCTTAATGTGGCAGATAAAAAAAGCCTGACAGCGCCTTTCGAAATACAGAAAATCCAGTCTGCTGTCAATTTGACAGATCATTCCTTGTTTTGCCTTTCATTCGAGGTCACGATTGCCGTTGACATTATTGGTCACAGAAGACATATTAGCGCTAAAAGTTTTGAAACATTCAGGTGTTTAAAGTGGACACGTTTCGATGGATGGAAATTGTTGGACACGTTTGAGCGAGAAGAAATCGGACACGTTAAAGGGGGGGGGGGGGGGCAATTTGAATACGTTTGGGCGATTTGTGATTCTAATGCCATCTTTATGGATCAGTGGTTCTGATTGGATGACAGTTACAAGAGTAAAATCCTCTATAAACAGTCTACCTGTCTGTAACTGATTAAGGAAAGCCGACATTTTGAATTCTGTAATGTATTAACATGTTATTTCTTCAATAAAGAACTCACTTTTTTCGCCTAAAATGTTCCTCTTTATCGAATTTTTATTACATGCTGAGGCGTACAAAAAGCACTGACAAAAAGCCTGAAAACGCCCGGTGTTTACATTTGACAACGGGGGCATGCATGAGACGTCACCTTGTTTAAGACCATCATTTTCGTTTTTATAAAATTGTACACCGAAACAATGACTGAAATGAACCGATTTGTTTATTTTGAATTATCATAGAGCCTCGGATAACCGTATTGTATTTGAAGCTTGGCCTTATTGCCCTATGTAAAAGTTTTACTGTCGAAAACATCCGTTTACCAGCTCCGCTACACGTCGCTACGTAACCCAATTTGCGACAGTAAAACCCACGTTTTACGTAGGCCAAGCTTCAAATACAATACACTTACTAAGTATCTCATTATTCTAAGGACACGTTTGAGCGAAATAGACGGCCTGAAAACGTTTGGGGGATGGATATGTTTGAGAATGTTACATATATATTGAAATAAAAATGAGATGAACAGATACTCAAAACCGCGATGATTAAGCTGAAGTGCGATGGTATGACGGTGAAGTGCGATGGTGGCATTGTGACGCTATCTTCTTGATAGCTACGGTGAAGTGCGTTGGATTAAATAAACTATAGTTTCAATGATTTTCAAGTTCACCTGTCGATGTAGTAGTCATTTTTTTTTTGTACGAAGCAGCTTAGTTTTTAGGTTTTTATATACATAGTCGAGAGTATGCAGCAAAATTAAACTAGGACAATCATTTAGTATGATACTGTAATTATAAGGACATAATAAAATAAAATGTACTTTTGTATTTTAAAAGTTGCAACCACCGTTTAAAGAGATGTACATTAAAGGTTTATATAAAACTATGATACTTCCACAGTAACTAAAAGCTGATATGCAAACATTACATGAAAATAACATAATCCATTTGAGTAGTCGGGTTCTAACCGGTCTTTTAAAACACCCTCTATCAGGCTGGAAAAGGTATTGGTTACTGTTATACCTCTATAATTGTCAGGATGTAATTTATCTTTTCCGCTCATGTGTACAGGAGTAACTACTTCTTGTTCACTATATCTACTTTATATGTTAATAATTATTCTGACATTAGTTTGAAATGCTTTGCTGATAGACCATCGGGACCAGGACTTTTTCCAGTTTTCAGTGCATTAACTACTTCCTCAGTGCACTTGGTTATTTGTCTTGCCAATTTCTATATTTCTTCCAATTTCTATTTCTTTTATTATTTCGTTTTGTATCTTTATCACTTTTAGTTTTTCCGTATTAAAGTTGTGTTGGGTGTTGAGATTGTCTAGTTTATATAGATTTTCGATATAATTTTTCCATCCGCTCATCATTAGCGCTCGGTCTTATTCTTCAATACCGTTAAAAACCATAGTATCAGTTAAAACGTTGTTACATTTTCGTTGGCCCTTTACAAGTAACTTATCA